ACGAGGTAATCTCGCGTCTTCGGTCGAAAGTTTGGCGTTGTCGAATATATCCTTGACGTCCCTGTCAAGAATGGGGCGGAACAAATTCCGCGAACGTATCTGCTGGAAACTTTCGACAACACCGCAGTTCTTGCGTTTGGCCATTCAATTTCACCGGGGAACATCACTTTGGCGGTTGTCGTTGGATATTTACATCGATCCCCGAGCGTCGCGTTGGTTCGGATAATGGGTACTAGGGTTGGTTCTACCCTAACGATAGTCAAACAAGCGAGACGTAAATATATAGGACCGTTGAAACGTTTGGACATTCACGTTTTATGATATTCAATCGATTTCTGGTGCGATAAATACCAGAAATTTCGGGTCGTTCATGGGTCGCGTATCTCTAGATATCACTGAGAACATTCAGGACACTCTGTAAATCAGACTTTTATTTTTATTAGTAACTAACGCTGCATTCCGTTTGTGTGAAATTTTTAAGCCACCGTTTCACACGGATTTGTCGACGTCCCGAAAAGGGATTTTCTGGATTCCCTAGTTGCGCACGTGGTAGAATGGATTTCATTCAACCAGCGAACAATAAAGCTCGTCAAGTTTACACGGGTCTCATTCGAGAAAGAGGAATTTTTCGAATGATCTCGATCTGTTTCGTCAACAGAAAACATTTTCACCCGAAAATTCTCGCCAAATGCTTGTTTTCAAATGTACTCGCAGAGTTTGTTTAAACAAATCGTTCGGACGTGGACATATTTTCGGTTTGTGACGTTGAACATTTACCGCGAATTTCGTTAGATTTTCGCGCGATGTTTATCGACTGTTGCGCTGAGTGCGCTTAATTCACTTTGCGTTAAAACGCAAAAAACAAATGCCCACATGCTGCACCCATCTTGACACTCGAAAAATCGAACTGTCGATACGATTCTGGCTGGCTTTCTATCGTTGACGTTTCATCAAATTATCGGGAGCTTTTTTGCTATCCTCGTGCGCGTGTGTGCAGCAGAGTGCATTTTTTTGAAAATATTGCTTCGACCTTCTCGATCATTAGTTTTTTTTTTTTTCAGGAGACGAAAAGGTGCTTCTCACCTAAAAACGCAAAAACTTAATGCTGGAATTAATATGTCGGTTGCTTTTGACCCAACCGTAGGAGAAGAGGATTAAGACAGTCCTTGTTTCCTAAACGCAAAACATTCTCGTCGTCGACAATCGAATCGTATCACCTTGTAATCAAAGAAACACCACTACCTATCTCCTCTACTTTCTGTATTTCCCCCCATGATCATGTTTCCCTTCCCCAACACCTTGTTCCTTCCTTCTACGCACGACATTGTGATCATAAAAACTTTGATCATCTGCAGGGTGTCCACCCTCTTCCTTCCTTTATGTCACCAGCAGCTACGCGCAAACGTAGCGCGAAGCGCGTAAAAACGAGTCGGGGATAGGTCAGAAATGGCTGAGAAATGGTGGCGATTTTCTTAGGAAGCTACGGACGGGGAATGGCACGTGGGTGATCGTAATAAATACGAGGGACGCTGAACGAACGATAAAGACGATCGACCGTCTTGGAGTGAACGGTAAAAGCGACTTTTATGGTAGGTAAGCGGCATCAAATCTTCGGCCGTGGAAATTTCTGTCGGAGAAACGCGAGAGTGCAGAAAGCAATCCTTCTGTCTAGGATGGAACGACTGCTGATGCCTGGAAACGAAGAAAAATGACCGTACGAAACGGACGTCGCACGAAAACGGAAGATATCAAAATTTTATTAACCCTTCGACCAACGATTTACTGTAGGATCGTGCGTGCCATAATCAAGTATAAAATTCTGTGCACCCTTTCATATGACGTGCCCGACTCGTGTTTTTCATCTTCGACTCAAATTCTGTACCACGAGTCTCATACGTTATTATGGGTTAAAAGTTTAATTTGCATAGAAATCATCGAAAAGGCAGTTTATGAATATAAAGGACGAATCCAAGCGTTCCAAGGGCGAGTTCCAAGGTTGCCATCGATATACGTCGCCAACAGGATATGTTTAACGCTGACATTCGATATCCAACCGATAGCAACGATAGGGTTGAATCTCAGAAGCCGAATTTCGTTGCCCGAAAGGACCCAGGCGCGAGAGTGCTTTCTCGAACGAGCAACTTCGGGACTTCAGCATCAATCTCGGCTGTATTCGGCTCGGATTCGCGTCGATGAGTAACCTTAAACCGCCAAACAAAGTTCTGACCCGTGTCGGATACCAGCCACTCCCTTTTCCTCTCGTCGGTTTTAGCCACGGCGTAAAAGGCCTGGCAGAAATCGTTCGATTAAACTGCTGACACGTAGGAACACTTTTTCCACGACGTTATCAGCAAACGAGTTTATCGGAAACGACGCGATACCGCTGGTTTTTTCGAGTAAATCGATATTATGTCGGGTCCCTTTGAACGAAACAACGACGGATCCTTTATTTTTAAAGAAATAATTTGACGATCGACTCGAGCACATTCAATCGCGAGACCCACACGATACAGTCTGCACTGCAATGAGACGTCGTCCCAGGTTTGCTGGTAAGTAAATGTTTGATACATTTGTCTCGCGTTGGGAAATAAATTTCCAAGAGAGATAGTGGACGCTTTCCCTGGAATTACGACAATTTGTTGCGCGAATAAACGACCGGCTAGATATGCGGATGAGTCATGCGAGAACGCTGGAAAATTGTACGTCGTAATTTATAAGAAACGCTCATTGGACGGCGTGCGCACTTTTGTACACCTGTTGATAGATGCAACTGGCACTGGGGATAATAAAGCGATCGCGGAATCGCGGCAGCTTCGGCAACGCTCGTTCCGACGCGAATCGAGCCATGGACAATAGCATGAAATGTCAAACGGCGACGTCAAACACACAAAACGTATATCTTTGAATCGTACAATGTCCACCGTTCGCTTCGTTATTGACTCAGATTACTTGGGAATTGATAAGGACTATCGATCAGTATTTACTTGGAGTTTCAGAGTCGACGAGACAAACGTACGATAATTTCAAGTTGAAATTCGAAAAATTGTCGATACCTTGGTCTTAAAATAAATCGAAACAGAATCATAGCTCAATTTCCGATCGATTCAATTACGAACACAATAGTTGAATAGCAGTATTTATTTCGTCTATAAAACTCGATGTCTGAACGCGAGTAACTCGATAGTAGGAGCAAAATTGGTCACGAGACGGAATTAGATTAGTCCTACTAATTGAACGCACAGTACCATCTAATTAACAGCCAAATTAATCCCGTTTCGAAGCTCAAACGAACATATGCGCCCCGAATAACCAGATTCACGATGTTTGACTATTTCCATAAATCGTATATCGATACCCAACGTTTGATAAAGTATTAGTTAGAAGTTATAAATGGGGGTTCAAATAAACATTTCTGGCGTGAAGGGTTCGGTGAAAATCGAATTAACTGCAGTGGTATCGAGACAAAAGAATGCCAGAAAATGACAGAAAAATTGTCGTCATACTTTTTTCTTTCTCGTTGACTCAGCAGAAGGAATCAACAACGTAGAAACGTTTACTGGAGTCTGAAGGGGTTGGGGACGCAGGGGGTTAATCGACCGTTAAAGGGTTTTGGTGACGACAAAAAACAGTTACACGTGTCACCGAAAACGAAGACACGATCAATTGTTTGTTTTATTAGATTGTTTATCGAACAATCTTTTTTATAATGCAATAACTTCAGTTTTAATTAGCAGCTTTATATTTGACCCTTCAACATCTATGACGATATCATTTTTTAAGCATCGTAAAGATACGTGTAAATACTTTTGCATTACTGTAACATACAAGTACATTCGGTATAAATTGTGAAAACTTTGAACATCTAGCTTCGCGCAGAGGACGCTCAAAGTTTATAAACACAAACAGTTCTAAGCTGATCAGCTCTACTCCTGCGATTGCTTCGAAGCTTAATATTTACATAGCACAACTCGCAAACTCTCTCTAACACAGTTCATCGCATAATCAGATTCTCCTAAGATTATACGCCTCCTATAGCGAAGCCCTAAGCAACGGCACCCAATTGCATTTAAATCCAGCACCAAGACCAACGAAAACTCAAGATCGTGAGACCTACGCAACAACAATCAAGTATCTTACTCAGTATATTATAAATAACGAATATTAAGTACTCGTAGTGATTGTTCGTTTCACACAACCGTTACATAATTAATCTCCTCCGCGCAGATAAACCTACACCTCCGATAGTAAATTCAATTTTCGAGATAGATCTGGTATACTAATTAATATAACTGGCTTAAATCCACGTGTGGCCACATGGGTGTCTAATTATTAATCAAGTATTCCGCACAACTTGGTAAATTCAAGTTCAGCGACGACCACAGCTGTAAACCCTTTCCTGTTTAGCATAACCAACTCGATTGCTATTTTAATTATTCCTAACAAAATCCCTACGAATTTCACTACGAGATGAACCCAGTTCGATATTCCTCCCAACAGAAACGCTATACGCACTCAGCGAAGCTATCTGACTCAAAGTTGTGTTCGATACCCGACACGTTCTCGTTATTTCAAATTTCCAAACATCCTCAAAATTACACCTTACGCACCCAACGCTAGCTACGACTCGATGTTGCGTCGACATCTGTCACATCCCTCCGAGCTCCACCGATAATACCCCCTGCAGACGGCACGAGATCAATCGTTTCCCTCATTCGGAAAGTGTCCCGGCTCCGGTGGACGTCAATTATCAGTTACGCCATCGATCAAGGATTCCGAGACGAGGATCGGATCGAGCCCATCGCCAGACATCGGCTCTATTGATCGCCAATGTCAACGCACACCAGCGCACAGGGTGGCGTAGACACACGCGAGAGTTCGGGGTGCGTTTCCTTCGCCGGACAAACCACGCAGATCGACTCGAGATGACTTTCCACTCGTTTTACGCGTATCGTTCGCGAAATTATCAGTCGAGGCGACGTTAAAAGGGTGCAGGTACTCACGAGGATCGGGCGTCCGTCAGTCTCGTAGTTGGAACTTGAATGCTTCCTCGAAATTCGGCTGGTCACCTTCGTGGAGACTTGCACGGGGTGTCTGTGTTAGACGGCCATGTTGTTGGCAATCCACCGCCCTCTGGTCGACGTTCGCCGAAGTCGCGATCCCTCACTCCTCGGTGCTTTTCACCCTCTCGTTTTCCCTTTCGCGGTGTCCTTCGCGTCACGCCCTCGCAAGCTCGAGAATGCGACTGAGCACGACTGTGCGTGGGCTTTCCACATCATTGTACGCCAACGACCTTCGTATACCCTTCTCCGAATTACGCAGAATTATTGCTTCGTTGTTAATTCACGAAGGGACTGTCCTTTATCTTTATACCAACGAGGGTAGTTTATTATATGCAAATTTTCGTAAACTAAATTTTTCATGAATTGCTTTTTCACTTCTTTTTTTACTACTTTTTCATTGTCTTCTCTCATGAGTGTACCTCGCTTCCTTTCTTCAATTTGATTAAATACTATCGGGAATACTTCTGTTTCTCTGTGTCAACTTTCGATAAAGTTGAATAATAAATTATTCGCGAATCATATAAACGTTTCCACGATGTTCTGTCTTAGTTGGTTCTCGTCAACTGTCCGCTTGTTGACAGGAATTGTTTACAAACCATTTCAACGAAAACATTGGATAGAAGTTTGACTGGAACCGTTAACGTCGGACAGTTTTGATTACTCCGTTCGTCTGCGTCCCACGGGGGACACAGCTTCGAAACTTTCCTTCGTCCCAATCTCATACGATGAAATATCGAGTATGAAAAATGGATAAAGACAAATTGCGATTTATATCCATCCCCCTTTTCATTCGAAATTCCATCTTTTGTTAGGAACTTGATTCATCGAATTCAATCCTTTTCCACCTGTGATATAACGAGGATTAAAATTCCATGATTTACATCTAACTTTGTCTTAATTTTGTTATTTTTATTAAAAGCCGTTAAACGTCTTCAGAACTAAACGAGGTAAAAGTGGACGAGTCCTTTTGACAATATAGAAAATAAAATTTTATCAAAGCCACTATAAACCGATATACGGAAAAATAATGGAACATATATTTATTCTATCTTTATCTTCAACCGAGTGAATTTTTTACATCACGTCCTTGATCTGAATCGATTCGAAGTCAAACTGCAAATCTCGTTGCAGGACGAACAGACGCCTCTGGAATTTCGAGCGGAATGCAACCCCCTTTCAGAGCTTTCACGTATCACTTTAAGACTACGCTATTCCCACCCCCGCAACTCCTACATTCGCAACGAAAATCCAAGTTCACTTTTCGCCCCCTGCTTTCGATGCACGCCATGTGGCGTTGTTACAGCGCACGCGCGAATTATGCGTGATCTATTAGACGTGATTGATCGCTCGAACGAAATCATTTTGCGGTACCAGTGTCACGTAAATTTTTTTTTTTTAATACATTCGCCTTTATTTTTCTTTCGAGGACAATATTTTTAAATGATAGATAATTGCTTGCGCAAGTGTTTCAATAGCGAGCATTAATAATTAATAGAACCCAACCTATACCTCGTAATGGAGGTGAAATGTTGCGCAATACAGTTGGTACATTTACATTTGAAATTGATGCTCTTGTGTCAATCTAATCTAAGTCATGCTTGCGAATGATTTGAGGCTTACCGAAGCACACATCTGTTACATGAGTACATCTCCATTACGTCAACTCTGATACCAGTTTAATTACAATTTACAATTCATCAGTGATCGAACAATTAATATACTCTATAGTACGTCGGGAAGTGTTTGGCATGATTATGTATATTCAATAAATAATGACGAAAATGGCAAGAAATTATTCTTTTTCTGTATTTCATGGATGCTTCTTCATATCCCAAGAGAGATCATTTTGGGAATTATTAATAGTTTTCCAAAAAAATTCATGAAAATCACCTATTTTTAAAGCTGTTACACTGGAATCCCCCCTTAAGCCGTCGTGCGCCACGGTGAAACGAAAGACTCTCTTCCGGGGCGCAACGCCACTCGAGAGAGTGTGTTGTGCACGACACTCGGATACTTGGTTCTAGCAAACGAGTAGCTCCCCACGACGAGATTTTTTCCCGCCGTCGTGGCAAATTTCGTTTCGTCTACAGAGAGGGCTCGAGTGCCCGGAAAGGGGTTGGGGCCTGGAGTGCTCTTCCGGGTTGTTATAATTAATACGACCCCATCGATCTCGGGGCCGTGGCTTTATCGCCCAGGCGAGCTACTTTTCTTGTCTATGTTCTCAGTGACGTCGCTACGGAGGATAAATTAGGATTTATGGATAAATTAGGTAACACCATCCAAGGGGGTGACATCACGATAAATAGAAATTCATTATTCCTCGTGAAAAATATATATTTCTCGAAATTAGATATTAATTTGCTGATTTATAATGTATTATTCTCCCATATCCAAGAAGATGGAGTCAAACGAGAACACGAATCGTAGGGTGTGGATTAGGTCGCGTAGGAAAAGTGGTCGACTGTGGATTCGAGCGATCATGGCCTTTGGAATTTACGTGGCTTATTTTTCGTTTAGACTTCTACATTATTCCTTATAAAAATATTTATTTCTTGAAATTAGTCTTATTTTCGCTGGATTTCAGTTTCCTAAAAATACCAGGAAGAAAAAGAAATCGTAACCGATTACCAAAGATTTTCAACGCCACGATCCATAGCACCGGGTCATGCTACACCTAGCGACGCTACTGGGTGTTCTCACGGTTTCGCGTGATCCGCGAATTTCTGGCGATCCTTCGCGCGCAGAAAAGGTCAATGGGCCGTGGTTCGAGATGGTCGAAATCTGGGGCAACGCGTGCAGGGGCATCGGGGCTCCCTGTGTGTACCTAATTCATACATTAATTCCGAAGGGGTAATCGAGGCGGTGGCTCCAGAAACGCGGTGAGTCAGGTTTCGGTCGTTAGAGTGAACCTGGAGGGCTCGGAACCTTCGTGGGTTCGTGACATTCTGTAAGATTGGAGGAGCACGTGACGCGATTAAACTAATCACGCTGGAAACTCGGTGGCCAAGTTTATTACTGCACAGGGTCAAGTAGTATCCGTAGGACAGAGAATGATTTTTTTTCTGTAAAATTGAATCGAACCCACGGAATGTTCCGTCTTGGAATAGTATAGAAAAAGTTAAACGAAACGCCGAAGGGTAATAGTACGGATTTCAAGAAGATGAGAATCACAGTACTTGGAAGATATATAGAAGGACGAAGTCTGGAATTTAATTGTGCGATCGTTGATCGTAGAAGAGGATGACTACGAACTAATGGGATGAGGATTGGTAGAGCGACAGAAGAGGTTAGTCGGATCAAGTAGAAGAGGTGAGGGGGCGGATAGGTATAAAGCGTCTTGTAGATAAGACAACAAAGGTGAAAAATTTATCCATAGATCGTGATAAATTCCGTCCATCGATCTTCCGTTGGAGGCAAAGTAAGAGTTTTATCGCTTCCATGGAAGTATCCCGACAAATACTTCGTATAAATCACGAAGAAGTCTACCAGACAGATAAATAATTTAATTCTGATACCTTTGGGATGATTTTGTAGACTTCGATATCATTTAACTTCGTTACTCCTACAGTTACAAGCAGATTGAACTGATACTGTGATTACCAGCGTTCGCAGACACCGTAAGTAGTAATAACCAGCATTGGTCAGATACATTCACTATTTACAAATCGCGAAGTTTAAACGTGTTGATTTCATTATTTTCTTACTTAGTTGCTCAATTGGTTACAAATGGTCCAACCGATACCGTCATCGTCGCGTTTTATACATAGTATTTATAAAGACAGTTTCTTAGAAGCGATAAACTTCACTCTTTACTTCAAGCAGAGAAGATCGATGGTGGAAGTGTATTACAGTCTACGGATGGATTTTTCACTTTTGTTGCCGTATCTACAAGATATTTCTCACCTGGTCCCCTTATCTCGCTTCACCTTGATTCGACTATCCTCTCGCATCACTCTAATGGCCCTACCACTTGTTCGTACTCGTGTCCCTCTAAGCCATACAATTAAATTTCAGATTTCCTTGTCCTATACATATTCTCACAATTATAATTCTCTTCCTCCGGAAATTCGTACTCTTTCGACCTACTTTGCGTTTAAGCACGGCATCAAATCTTCCTCCCTTTAGAATTTCGCCTGACCAGGTACTACGTTGAATAAGACCTTTGTTTCGTTTCGTACTCTGTTCGCGTATGCCTTTTGGTTTAGGTTCTGAATAAAGCTTTCAATCGTGCCATGTCGATAAAAAAAAAAAAATTCAAAAGTCCTATGACTCAAGATATATAAAAATCATGGATTCAATATGAATGACTGTCGTGACTGTAAACGACGAGATCTTCCCTTTCCAATCATTATTTCCACGGAAACCGTGTAATCCCGTCAGTGAAATATATGCAGTAATCTCCTATAGAGCATCACCGCGACTGTGATCCTTCTGCAACCGAAACGAAATTTCCAAAGAATTATAAATATTCCGGGACGAAAATATCCGAAATGAAAACCTCTTCCCTCGAGAAAAAAGTGATCTTAATTTGGCACGTAACGTTGTTAAATCGTTAATGCCCTCTCTCGTAATCCATAATGGGAAGTTGAAAGGAGAGAAATAGGATTCCGATATTTCGACAAAAGCTTCAGTGGAAATGCAGCCCCCGAGTTTCGAGAATTTTCGAGCTGCGGCGTTTTGTAAATAATGATTCATATCCGCGGGCTGCGCGTTGTTTTTGACAGCGCAGGTATTTCCGTAGATTTATCGGCTCGAAGAAGTTCGGATCCGACTTTTGACAGGGCGTCGTATTTTACAGGAATTTTTAACGTTCGCTGGTAATATCCTCGCCGAACGGAAATTTATAACGCAAGGGAGAAGATTCCGTTGTCAGCAGGGGAATTGCGTTTCAGGCTGAATTATCACGATTGCGTTAAATTATCGACGTCCGCACGACCCTCGCAGAAAGCTTATTCATATTTGAACGCGTAATCTGCTAAGTGACTCGTACGTCCCGATTTCTCGTTGAATCGTCCAATTTTATCTCTGCAAAAGCACACTTTTTCCGTGTCCAGCTGTTGGCTGTTGCGGAGCTCCCACAGCTGAGTATTTTACGGACAAAGTTATCGCGAGTCTAAATAAAAATAAACAAACTGGTGGGTGGAAAATGCTTGGGGAATTACAGAGGGACAATGTCTTTTTTTTCGAGCAAATTTAAACTTATTCAACAGAAATTAATCGTCGGTGCAGCGTCTAGAATACTTTTACAAAATCCAAACGTCCACCGGTGGTAATCGACTTAATAAATTGTGTCGGTGCGTTTCTCGGTACTTGGTATACCAACACTGATTCCTATGCACCTTTGATTTATTACCATGACTTGAATTCAGAAGTCAGAATAGTTATCAGGAGAATCCGAGAAGCGCAACCGTGGAAGCTCGGATAGTTCGCAGTTTAGAGTTCAGTTTGTTCTTCTTGGAAATCCAAGTAGTTTAAATCCTGAAAACGGATCTAATGGTAAATTCAAGGCTTACATTCTCCATCCAAGGTGTTCTTAAAGGATCGTGACTGAAGCCGGAGCCATAAGACGCGAGCTTACCGATCAGATTTGCATTTCTCCTCGGAATCATCTAATTACGTCGCCCGTTTACTTTTCAGCAAATCAATACTTTAAAAGTTGGCAGCTGCCTCGTCTTGCTCTGTTCAAACAAGATTTTCTTGAAAACAGCAGTGTTCTCAGTATCTTGATGATAACTTTAATTAGAACATTTTATAAATCTAAAATATTCTTTCTTTCCAACAGTTATTACGATCTTTCGTTAATATTCTTTCTGATCCTCCAAGAAACCGTGGTCACAAAGATTCTCAGGGGGCAACTTGGACGCCAGTTGAGGATCTCTGGCGATGAAGGATCCACCAACATAGATCTCAAAGGGTGTCTTTCGCGCCGCGATAATGGAGCCCCAGGGATAAGAACGAGAGACTTTCGGCTGACTTCTCAACCCCCTGACGGACGAGAAGGAAGAAGGCCGAATGCTTAAGCGGCTCCTGATTGATTAAGCCCCGGCGAACACTCTGGCCGGTTGGCTCGCGTGAATTTTTAATGAGAATCCGACTCCGAACGAGCCACGACCGACTTCCTAGTAGCGCGATCGGCTTTCAAGATGATACCTGCTAGACGAAGCTAGAACTACCGCGGAGAGCGGAGGGAGGACGCGAGAAGGGTGCTCGAATCCCTTTGTTCGCGATGAATGCCTCCTCCTTCAACGCGGCGGGGTACAGGTGCCCCGTGCTCTCGGCCCGGTGAATCTTCCTTCAATTACGCCAGTCTGTAGCTTCTTTTTTGGCCCTTCGTGCACTCGCTGCTAACGGTGCAGACCTGTAGCAGACGGACAGATTTCCTGTCCTTGCGAATTACCCCTGCGCGTCGTAACTCCTCGCTATTGGATCCTTGCATACGTCAGGGTTCGTAATTATGCTGAGAAAAGCGAGAATTATGCATTGCCAGGAACCGTTGGAACAGTAGTTTTTAACCTTTTGTTGTATGGATTGATCACTGAGACTGTTGTGTGCATTTACTATGAGAATTTCAAAAATGTATCCTTTTGAGGTTGTAATATTCAAAAGGATTTTCATGAACACGAATAGTTGAGTGTCCACTGTAACAATAGATACCAAACAGGTAGTTACCGCGGCGTAATTTAAAATAACTGTGTAAATTGAGCCTAATTGCTTCCTGAAATAATTATAAACTGATGGAGCTTAATTGCTATCCCATACAGTATGAAGCCTGATTGCTTCTAAAACTAAACTGACATCTTACCTGACGAACTATTGAAGTCACGGTTGCTTCTGGATTCTCTAAGAAAAACAGCTTCTCGATGCTGTTTGAGAAATATTCGAAGTGTCTACGAATGTAACTAAAATACTTTCCTTTGTTTTCTTTTCCATTTTTTGTTTTTTGTTTTTTTTTTGTCTTAGCTAATAGAAAATGTTCCAGACCTTTCACGCTATTCTAATGAAATTTCGCTCGGCGGGTATCCATGAAAATTTCCTTTCAAAGAAGTTAAGCGTCGAGTGTATACACAAAGGGCGTGTTGAACTTGAGGCACGGAAACTTCACCGTCTTTGTCGAGGCTTCATCGGTGAAACGCTGAAAGCTCGTTTGACGTCAATGAAACGGCCGGATCGCGCCAATGTTTGGTCTGCGAAGTATCAAAATATTTGCGCCTCCATCGAGTCGAACTTCCATTGGTGGATTAGAACTCCGATAACTCGCAGTTTCTGCGACGCGTTATTAGCGATTAAAGCTTTGGGGGTGGGTGGGTGGGAGGGGGGGGGTGGGGTGGGGACCGACGACAACTTTGAGTAGAAACTGACGAAACCAGCTGATTGCTTCTCTTTGGCTTTTCGAGGCTTAATGGAAGTCAATTTTAGTCTTTTCACTCGTGCTGGAAACTCCACAGGCGTGTTAAAGCTATACATATTCGAGTTACTAAATCAAGAATAGAAGCATTCGACACTGTTATACTCGCCATTCGGAAAGTATTCCAAATGACATCGATATTACTTAGAATTTCGCTAAGGTTTATCTGTGTTTATCTAAAGAAGCTGCAAATTTAAAGGCATGTAGAGAGTCGTCTGGCGAGAACCATTAAGAACTTGGTTATTATTCCAAGTTTTCGACTTTTTTTCTCGTACAGTGTCGGCAACCCAATTACACCATCAGTTGCGAAACACCCTGGTAGTCGCGGCGGTCTTAATTCTCGTTAAGTTGTAAATGTGTTTCTTTCGCTGCAGAGGTCTGCTGTAATAAGTTCCGTTCACGGTCCTGCGAGTGCAACAAACATTCCAGGCGACGTGTAACGTTGCATGTACGGTTGGCGATTCCCGCCACGGTCGTTACTCAAGTCGAATACAAGGGTTTTCCTGCAACCGCGATGCCTTTCCACAATGCCAGCCCCGGTACGTGTCTTCGCATTTACCCGCGTGATTCACCCTCCACGCTAAATCGATTACTCCCGTACTGGACGTCAGGATCTTGTGTAAATTGAAATATGTTGCAGTCCATTCCAAAAGAAGGGAGGTTTATGTCATAATTTTTCTGGTTTCGAAATCGTTGACGAAATACAGACTCTCGAATATGTTTTCACAAATTTTCAATGAATTTGGTTTTGTAAGTATCAATTATTATCGCGATATTATTAATAAAATTTGTTTTCGCGAGAAAAACAACAAAACACAGGAATGATTTCATTGTTAAACTGTCTGAATCATTTCGAATATTACAGAGTTACATCCACGGTATCATACAAATCAGTCGTGAATCTAGCATAAGAGCCGCTAAAGTTGTTCACCTCAGTTTATTCGTTTATTCGTTTATTCGTGGCTTTTCGTATAACCAATCGGACAATTTCATCTGCGATTCAGTGTCCTGAATACGTTTCCTCCTTTTGTTTTGTTCCATCTTCCTGTGAATATCGAAAAAGTGTTTTTTTTTTCAGTTTATTTGTCGATTCCTTTATTGGCGATTTACTGTCGCGTCAACCGATGATATTGATTGCCTGCGTCGTGACAGTATATTAACCTTCTGCATATCCTGCCTCGATTCCTTCTGTTTCCAACCTTTTCACATTTTCTGCGTATTTCATTATATCAGTTCTCCTCCCGGTAACTTTTGTTTTACTCCCACTTTCACCTTATACTGCATTATTCCTCTTCTTTTTCTCAGTTCCTTTCTTCCAGACATGGCAACGAAATATCTTTTCCCATTTATCACGCACCCAAATACCACGGTTCATTCCGCTACCGTTCCACGCATTACTATTACTCAAACTCGAGGTTCGTTTCTCGTTAACTTTTTGCTCCTTCGAGCGTGCAGCGCACTCGATTCTTAATCGTACGAGGAATTCCGTTGTCCAACCTGACCCCGTACTCGCCTCGAGAGTGTCTTTCTCGAAATTTCAAGTTGCTGGTGATCGTTTATAAATGCAGTAGGAAATTTTCGTTTTGCAAGGTTCGATTCATCGTAAACCCGATTCTCAGAAACAAAGTTCATGCTAACATTTGACGACATATTTTATGTTCCGAGTCCCTGAGCAGTTCTTGGCTAGTGAAACGTTCACCGTGAAAGATAAACGGGACATGGTTCTGCGTCACGGCGAAGTGCAGCGAGAGCATGTACAATGTAAATGGTACTTGGGAAAATAGCCTGGAAGAAATTTCCCTTCCCGACGTACGTTTGGCGGGATACATAGTTCAAGCATTTCGTCAAACAGGCAACTTCTCGTTTCGAGAAAAGTATCGATGCCGTCTAACGTAAATGTATTACTCGATATTTCGCGAACTCATAGCAAAACGGAGGGTTAAGTCTCCCCAGAGTCAGGTTACGCAGCATCAACTTACCTTGAATTCACCACGTTTATCACCAAACTCAGTGCCACTATTATCAAACTTTAACTAAAAATATTAGCTCGGTAACAGTTATTAAGAAGCTCGAGAAATGCTACATTACCCCATCCCCAACCTAATAATTGTTGCATTCAGGTCCATAATTAAATAAACCCCGCCACCTGAATAAAAAAGCAGGTTAAGCTTTTCCCAGCCGCGTTAAAAAATTCCCTCCTCCTCCCCCGCTCGTTCGTATTATCCTTTCACCTTTTGTCTTCTTCCTATGCATCTCTATTTTCTTCACCCCTTTTCTCTGCATCTTTCCAACCCTCCACGCATTGTCGTTCTTCGCTCGCGCTTCCTCCCTCTCCTCGAAGCTTCACACGTTTCCTCGTCCCCTCCTCTTCGTCTCGGCGCTCCTACCTCTTTTCAACCCTTCTGTCTCGCGCTTCGCGGATCCTCCATCCCTCTCCTCTACACATCCACCCCCACTAGGCGGTCGAGAGCGCCGGCCCGAGAGCTTCGGTCGAGTCAAGCTACGACACGGTTCAGCCGAGTTCAGTCGCGCCACTCGGTCGTGGTGTTCACGTGCCATCGCAAGCTCGACAGCGTCCGTTCAGTTGCCCATCCGAGAGGAAACGTTTACCCGAAACACACACATAGACACAGAGAGAGGGGGAGTGACGAGGCTGGTGGATCGTACACGTTCGATGTCCCCTCTTCGAGTGTCCTGCCACGATCTCAAGGTAGATCCCTAGATCGTAAGCTTCGTCTCGGTTCCTGTGCTTTGTTTTGACAGGCGACCGCGTGCTCCTGGTGCCAGTGCGACGATTCTCTGGGAAAGTTCTCTGTCATTCTTCTATCTCGCTGCACGGTTCATTCTCGTTTTCAGTTTGTTTTGTGATTTTTTCAACGCGATGACAGTGGTTCCGTAAGTCGAGCCTCTGGCTAGAATCTCCGGAGAGGTTTACGATATCGAAAAGAGATTTGTTTCGACGTCGGTTCTCTTTCAATGGGAGTGATTATGGTTTATTTTTTGTTTTTGTTTTTTTTTGGATCCCGTGGATGTTTCGAAATAACGTGATTTTTTTTTCTTGGTATAGTTGATCGATGGTTGCCTGTGCGTGCTTGGATCGACGAGTGCAATTCGTGTGGTTAACTATTTAAATATTCGTTTGTATACCGTAGAAATGAAACGAAATTTTATTTCCAGTAACGGATGATAAATGGAATCAACTTATGGTGTTATATTCTGTCATTCAAATTAAAATTTTCATTCAAAAAGTAACGAATAAACTTGTTTATTTCTGGTTCGCTCGTGAAATATTTTCTTCCACGTTTTACATTTTCATTTTCATTCAAAAATTAACGTACGAACGGTCATTTATCATTCATTCGTTATTTTTATTTCATTACGAACTTTACACTTCGCCGATTGAACGTTAATTCCGATGTCATGCCGGAAATTGGTTAACTAGCAATTAAACCTGGTGTTGGTCGGTGGTGTTACATGTTGATTCAACTTGGCAATGTTGAGGAAAAGTAAATTTTATGGTATGCGATGTTTTTATATCGACATTTTCTATCTGATACGATAGGTTATATACCTTGGTGGAAATTCAATTTGCAAAAGTGTAACGACAGAGCGAATGAGAAACCGTTGATGGGAAATTAGCATAAATAGCTTATGCAGGTAATATTTCTTTAAAGAGCCTCGAATAGCTTCATTTAAAAGCTCTTTTCGCTCGATACGGCTCCGTTACAGCCTCGGGAAATTTGAAAATTCGAAATCTACTCATGCCCCCATTTCCTGATTAAATTGGTAGCAGAACGTGTTCACTCTAGGGTTGATTCAGTTGGGAAACTTTGACGCGTACCGTAGCACGGTTACCGCCGCTATATACAATTCGAATTAATCCGTTCGTGAATACACGGAGCTTGAATTAATAACGGACGATTTGACAGTGCGATTGTGAGAAATGGTAGGATGAATTTCACAGACCGAGAACAATGAGCGCGACATCGCGGGTTGAACAAACCTCTACGCGGCTCGACATATTTCGCGGTTTCGAACTCCCTCACGCTTCTGTTCGAAGAACAATGTCGCTCGAAATGGACCGATCGACGTTTTTCACGAGATCCGTCGTCGTCAATGCATTCTGATGCTTTTGGTTTCGATACCTTGTTGTCGAGTTGTTATGCACGAGTTACATCGCCTATAAATTAGTTTCGCGCCATTCACAAATATCGATAGAAATACTATTCAAATAGAATTTCAGTGAAAAAAAACCAGCTAAAGTATTTTTTACAAATAGATATAACGTTGGAGTCATAGTAGGAGTAGCATAGATTAGCTGCTCAAGGCCACTCACTGGTTATCCCCGCCATAGTACCTCCTTCACTGTATCTTCTGCCTTTTCACGCATATCTACCGAGATAGGGTTCTTTAACCTAAAGGTAAAGGCGTAATGGAAACAGCAACATGTTTCTCTTGACGCAGAAACGAAGATGGTCTCGTAAATCGCCATGATGGTCTTTCCGAATGGTCCTCGCCGAACGAACAAGGAACGTGCAATAACCGTGGCGATCGTTCGCTCATCGATCGTTCATTTTAGTGCTCTATTGTCCGAGTTCCTTGTCCTGAATCGTTATAGAGATATTTTTAGGGTTTCGATAAAATTCTACCGCACCTCTTTATTGCCGTCTAGTTGACAAGATTTATCGAAGTTCCAAAACCGAGAGATGAGATGTTAATCCCCATTTTGCGACAGGATTTCGTGGCACGTTTAGTGCTCAGCCGTTAGATTCGCCATTGTAATCCACACGGAAGAAAGGTTTATGATACCGTTAATTCCGTTAAACAGTCAAGTGTGTTTATACTTCGTCTGTGGTAGATACAGTGAGAGAAATTACTAAATTATTCGATTCGAATTTCTCACCAAGAATTAAGGACAAAAAATCAATGCGTGAAACTTATTATTTATATACTTTCATTCCCAGTATGTCGATGTTCGAACTCATTCCAGCCGTAATCACGGCGCGAAACATTTTCCTCTAACATACTCCATTTATTTACGAAACCTTCCCCTTTAACGAGGCGATTGAAACATCAAAATTCTCCCGCGGGAATCAGATTAAAACCGAAACGTATTTCGTTCGCTGGCGAGGGAAGTTCGAGTATCGATTCCCCGAACAGATTCGTTCAGCGCCCACATTTTTTCGTCGTCAATCATCCCACTGGCACAGCCACAAACGCGAACAAATTAATTCGGCTGGCTGATTAGAAACGTAGAATAAATTAACTGAAACGAATACGTCAAAATACTCACTGACACATCGCTCTATCGCCATTGTAATACCGCGGAAAATGGATATTCAAAAGGAACGATATCTGCTCAAATATATTAATTAAATCAATCGCGCCGCGCAAATGGTAAATATTATTTGTCGTAATTAGAAGGAAAAATGGTGTCGTGGATAACGAAAATGGGCGCAATGGAAAAAGATGGACTTAGATGGACTTAGCGGTAGAGATAAAGTAAGCAAAAGGAAGACTCTAAACATCGTAGGGAAAGCGATGGAAATAAAATTTAATTAAAATTTCTCCTCGTCAGAGTGGATAGAGAAACAGTTGCCTCGATTTCCTACGTGGAACCGTGAATCAAAATGTACCGATTTCATCGCTATTATCGATCATACATAGCAGGACAAAAAAGAATTTTCTATTGAAAAAAAAAAAAGAGAAAAGAAAAAGAGAAAATTGAGCTGGCAAAAGAGCGTCGCTGAAGTGGGCCGCGATTTAGGGCGAGAATAAAAAGGTGAAGTGGCAATCGAACGAACGAGGGCGAGAGGGAACCGCGAGTAAAAAGCGATATCGTAATTAATCACGTTGATTCGAGTTCGCGGAGAAACGAGGGAACGAGCACAGAGGAAGGGCGAATCGGAGGGGCAGGGGGGATGATTGGTTGAAAAGAGCAATTTCTCCTTTCGGCTCTCAGCAGTTTCATTTCGTTTCTCCGTGTCGGGCGTCGGTCCTCTGCGTTCGTCGTCCTTTCGTGTTTTCGTTGCCAGTTAGTTAGGCTCGATTCTGGACGGGGATAGAGAAGGCAGGAGGGGGTGGGATTTCATCACGAACAATTTCAATTCCGCTAGGACCGTTCCGATGGTTAGGAATGCATCGACGTGTACCTGTCTCTGACAAAATGGCGCTAATGGAACAAAGTATAATAAAGTAAAGAAACTAACGAACCTCGGTAATGAAAGATTAATAGAACAAAGTAGTTAAAGTTGTAATATCTACACTCAGCAACGGGATGAAATCCATTATTAAGAAGCCGAATTATGTTACATACAATACTTAGTAATTATTCTCCTTTTTTTGATCTCGAACGTATTAAAAGTTATTGAAAATATTGCACAAATATACAGAGTGACAACAATTCATTTTAAATTGGTTTTCTAGGGAAAATTGCGAACAGCTTAACGCGGTTTATAGCGTAAGTTATAATTTTCAATAAGTTCTTTCACTAAAGATTTCTGCGTTATGTTGTGTTTCCAAATTAATTAATTCGTTCTTTATACATGAACCGCCACTCCACACGTTGCTTCATTTAGAAAATTGTTTGGAATAATTCATTTTCATAAACCCAATGGTATCCGTTGTTAAGGCTATGAATCATTTAAATTTCGAAGCGCGGTTATATAGAAATAAAAGACTTTTAAATATACGCGTTTCGATTTTCCGTAAATCAATCAATTACAACGGAGCACGGATGCGAAATTAATTCTCATAGTGGTCGTTACTTCGAAATATAATGCATGCAAAAGAGGCACTTGGGGAAACTACGGATACCGAACGTTTTCCAAACCGTGACCGAGAAGGTAGCACGGAATTTGCAATGTTATTCTACTTAAATTATCGAATTAAATTTTACGATTTTATCGTCTATTGGAGCATCTTGGAAAAATTTTTTAGTCTCTCCCTTGATACATTGAATTTAAATCTTAAACAACCTATAGGTGATACGGTTAATTGGTACCAAACATTAATTAATTATTCAGGTGCGTAATGCATCAGTCGAAAGCACTGTTCGCTCCTTAATGATACAAATGAAAAATTAATAAGGTTATAACTACGGGATGCGCGATATACTTTACTTCATATTATTTTATGTTTAATATATTAGCCTCAGTATCTTATCTCCAACTGGTGAAATATTTGCAATTTGATGCGGTATGAGCTAATGCTACGACTCACGGTGCCACAGATCACAGGTTTCCTCCATTTTCGATCCGACCCAGCCAGCGACCTGAAAACGTGTACGCGCTGGAATCTCCATAGATCGTAAAATATACCGAATATTTCCGTGGCGTAACGTGTTTTCCCGAGCTTAATTCCGGTGCTATCTGGGGATTCACGGCCAGTTATATTTTTTAGCGGGAACGCTGGCTTCGGAATGTATTAAGCGCCTCCCGCGCGATGAATTATGGCAGGAGAAGGCGGAACGTGTAATAACGGCCGCGAGACGTGTAATAAAGAGGGATGTTTTTTCCCTCGTCTAACCGAAATCCAGTCTAGCTGCCATCCGAGTCTAACTTAAATTCAATTTAGATTTATCGCGAACTACCACTCACCGCCAAAACCAGACCACTCTGGATTTAACCCTAATCTGAACATAACTGTGATCCACACTTAACCCCGATTCGACTTCTTAGACTTCAGATGTGCTTTGAAACTTTAGCGTCA